GCGGACGCGTGGGTGACCGAGGCGCTGCTCGGGGTGCCTGCCGCTGCGGAGCGCGAGCTGGAGCTGCTGCGCGCCGGCCTGGAGCACCAGCGGGGCGTGAGCGCGCTGCTGCGCGGGCGGCTGCGGGAGCTGGAGGAGGCGGGCCAGGCTGCGCGGGAGGGGACCAGCCCAGCCCCGCCGCGCGACGCCACCACCCAGACCCCTTGGGGCTGTGCGGAGAAGACCACGCAGACTGAGCTTCCCGCGGCGGCCCCCTGCCTGACTCCGGAAAGGGAGAGCCCTCCTGGGGACAAGGCGGTGGCCCCTGCTGGTGAGTCCTGATGCCCGCCCAGCTTAGCCCACGAGTTGCGGATCTCAAACTCAGTGTCCTCCTCTGGTCCCCGCCAGGCACCCTCAAATCCATCATGAAGAAGAGAGATGCCACCACCAGTCCCCAGTCCAGCCCCGGACCTAAGAGCCTGCAGTTTGTTGGCGTCGTCAACGGAGAGTGAGCGCTTTCCCCTTTCCCATGGCAACAGCTGGGGGTTGGAGGTCACAGACCCGGTGTGCAGCAAGTGGGTGCGCCCTGGGCCATCCCATTCCCCTGGTGTGACATGGGGACAGTTCGCTGCCCTGCAGAACGTGCCACTGGGGCGCTTAGGGAAAGCCTCTGCTCTGTCCGCAGGTACGAGAGCTCGTCCAGTGAGGACGACAGCGACAGCAGCGACAGCCAAGGCGGCGCCCCGCGGCCCCCCAGGAGTAGTTCTTCCGGTTCCGGGAATGACAGCGGTGGGGAATCCGACTCGGGCACACCCAGTGGTGGGGACGTTGGGGACCCTGGGCCAGAGGCAAAGGCGGAAGCGGAGCCTCAGCCCGGGACCCAGGAAAGGTAAGAGGAACCAGGGCTCGGGAGTAAGGGGGCTGTGTGTCTCAGGGTCCCCCCTGAGCCTCGGCCACCTCCCTGTAGGTACAAGCTGAGTCCTCGTTTGCGTGAGGCATGCGCCACGCTTCAGAAACAGCTGGGCTGGCCCGGAGGAGTGGCTCACGACAGTGTGAGTGCGAGACGGCCCACTTAGGGTGCCCCTGCCGCCCTCCTTAGTAAGCCCTAAGTTTGGTCCACTTTCACCAGGGACCTATCTAGACCCTAGGTTCTCCCACTAAACTATTCTAGAAGGGGTGACCTTTCCTTAATTTCCCCAAGGGGAGCTGGGCCTGGTCCCATGCACCTGTGATCCCAGCACTCAGGAGGCTGAGGCAGGGGGATCACTGGAGAGTTCGAAGCCAGCCTGGGCTACACAGTGAGACCATCTCACCCCCCACCAAGTCCCACAAGGGGCGCCTCTCCTGCCCCAACCACTGATCACGCTCAAGCCCTGCTCCTCAACTTTCCAAGGGGCAAAGCTCTCACTGCCTCCCTTACTGTAAATTCCTCCAAGGGCCAGCAAGACAGCTCAGCTGACTAAACGCCTGCTTGGGCAAGCCTAAGAGCAGGGACCCGGCTTCAATCCCAGGCGCCCCATGCTGTGCCGGCCCTTTCCCGGGCGACCTGAGCTGGTCACTGAGACCGGATGTGGTGGCACCCCTGGGGAGGCTGAAAACAGGAGGATCACTAGAGTCCGAGCTGTGTAGTGAGACCCTGTACCAAATACAAAATTAAAAGAATAAATTCCCCCAGATTATTTCCAGAAGGGTAGGACCCCCTCCCCAGCTTGGGAACCCCACTAACAGCACCCTGTTCCTGAAATGTTCCCAAAAGGAGAGTGACCTTTGCCCTCTCCCCTACTCAGACAAGCAGTGACCTTCTTGCCTTGCCAGGATCGCTTATGAGGTCTGGCCAGCGCTCCCAGCCCTCAGCCCTGGATTATTCCTGACACCTCTGTCGGTGTACCTGCAGAACGCAGCGCGCCTGGTGGCCCAGGAGTGGTTCCAGCTGTCCAGCCAGCGGCGCTCCCAGGCGCACTTGGTGGCCGGGGTGCTGCGCGGCTTGGCGAGCCTGGGGTCCCCCCTGCTGACACATGTGGTGAACCTGGCAGACAGCAACGGAAACACGGCCCTGCACTACAGTGTATCCCACGGAAACCTGGCCATTTCGAGCCTACTGCTGGACACGGGTCAGAGTCGCGGGGGTCCTGGGGGAGGCCAGAATGGGAGTCAGGTCTAGAGCTCACCGCAGATGGAACCAGACGCGAGACTGGGGAAAAGGCAGACAAGGGCCGGCCAGTAGAGGGCGCCGCTGGATCTTTGTTAAATTACAAGAGCCTTCAGCGATGGTGGGGTTTTTTTTGTTTTTGTTTTTGTTTTTTTAAGTTTTTTTAAGACAGGGTCACACTATGCAGCCCAGACTGGTCTCGAACTCACAGCTAATTCGGAATCCTCCTGCCTCAGCTTCCCCAGTGCTGGAATGACAGGCCTGCACTCCCACCCGCAATGGACATCGAACTCGGGGCCCTCCAACTGAGCTACAGCCCAGCACTTTTTTTTTTTTTTTTTTTTTTTAAAGTTGGGGTAGTGGTGCATGCCTGTAATCTTGGAAGGCTGAGGTGGGAGCATTACTGAAAATTCAAGGCCAGCCTGGTCTACCTAGTTAGTTTATGGCCAGCTTCAACTTATTAGCAAGCCCCTGCTGGGCGTGTTGGTGCTCACCTGTCATCTCAGCACTGGGAGGCTGAGGCAGGAGGATCACTGGGAATGTACCAGCCTGGGCTACAATGTGAGCTCAAGGCCAGCCTGCGCTGTGTAGCAGGACCTTGCCTGAAAGTGAAAAACCTAACTCTAAAACCAAACAGAAGCTAGGTATGGTGGCACACATATGTCACCCCAGCACTCAGGAGGCTGAGACAGGACTGTTGCAAGTCTGATGCCAGCCTGGGCTACACAGTGAGTTCAAGGCCAGCCTGAACTACATAGGGAGACCCTTCCTCAAAAAGGGTAGGGTCCTCCTGCCTCAGCTTTCCAGAGTACTGCAATTACAGGCTTGTGCCACTTGACACTTAGGTCCCAAGGGTCTTGGACTCCACCAGCTCCCACCTGCCCCTGTTCTCTGCAGGGTGCAATGCCCAACTCTGGATCAGACTGCGGTGTAGAACACTGCTCAGGTGTGCCAGGCACACTGTAAGGACCGGCGAATGTCCGCCAAGGCTGTGGCCTGCTCAGACCAGCAGGGGCCTCCCTCCCTGAAGCAGAGCTGCACACACCCAAATGTTTTGGTGTTGAAAGCCTAGGAGGCGGCTAGCTCTTTGCTGGATGCAAAACGAAAATTGGGGCAGGGAAGGTGTGCTCCCCCGCCCATCCTCACCAGCCTGGCTCTCCCACTGCACCCTCCGTCTGCAGGGGCCCTCGACCACTCAGGAAGCCCTCCAGGGTCTGCCAAGCATCTTCTCCCACCTGAGAGTGGGTGTGGGGTGAGATGTGTGGAGCCGGACAATTACCAGATGAAAACATGAATTCATTCCCAGAGGGGCAGGGGATTCTGACAGTGAGGAGATGAGGAAGGAGGTGATCCCTGAGATTGAGGCTCGCAGAGAACGGGGTAGCTCAGGCTGGCCTTGAACTCAAAATAATCCTCCTGCCTCAGCCTCCCAAGTGCCGAGATTACAGGCACAGACCAGCTTTCTCACACACTCAAGGCCCTGTGCACAATCCCACCACACCAAAGAAACAGCCGCCCTTCAGTGCCACACGGCAGCTAGGAAGGCAAGCTGGGGGGTCTCCTGCCCAGCCTCTATTTCTGTGCCCCTTCCTCTGTACTACTCACCTTCTGTAACCCCAGCCTTCCAAGCATGTACTCAGCCTAGACTGAGCAATGCAACACTTAGCCTCTCAAAATTATTTTTAATTATTTTTTTTAATTTTAGGGAAGGGTCTACAGTGTGTTCAGGGTCTCACTACTAGATCAGATTTGTAGTGATTTGCCTGTTTACAGCCTCCCAAGAGCTGGGATTACAGGCATGCACCACCACACCTGTCTCAATTGCTGTCTTGGGGCCAGCACAGCCCTGTCTGTGCCTGCTTGCAGGTGCTTTAATCCCCTGAGCTATTTGGCCGGCCCTTCAAGATTTTTTAAAACATGGCTAGAGATGGAAAGGACCCAGTATTCAACTCTCAGAACAGGTGGAGACTATGAAGCATGCTGCACAGTTAGGAACCCACTTTAAATTTTGTCATACTTGGAATCAAATTTAGGACTTTGTACTTGCCAGGGAGGCATTCATGCTGCTGAGCTCTATCCCTGGTCCCTTGTATTTTTGAGACAGTGTGTTATTCTGTGGCCCATGCTAGCTTGGAACCCGCAATCTTCTTGCCTCGGCCTCCTGAGTGCTGGCGTTTCAGGTACATGCCATCCTACCTGGGTAGCTTTTTGTAGCGCCGAGCCCTGTGTACTCTAGGAAGATGCTCCGCGGCTAAGCCACGCGCAGCTTCTCGTACCTGCCACCTATCGCTCTTACTAGTCAGTCACCTCCACCCCACCCCCAAGGTAACTGCGCCAACCCAGCCAGACCCTCCCTGCCCTCACCTCCCAAGCCTTCTCAGCGTGAAGCTGGCGCTGGCAGGCATCAAACAGCTGCACAGCTCAGTCAGTCCCAACAGAACCAACCCAAGGAGGCCTCCTGGGTTGCTGTGAAGTGTCACTGTGAGGGCGGCTGAGCACGACAGAAATGTCAGTTCCAGAACATGAGATTAAGGTGTTCATGCAGCCCGTGCCCTCCTGCTAGCTCCTGGCTGGTACTGTGGGCAATCCTCCCACATCCTAAGACTGCCTCCAAGGTCCAGTTCATGGGTCATGGGAGACAAGGAGCCTCCATCTTTTTCAACTGATAAGCAGGCTGTGGGGCAGCTGAGGACTCAAGGAAACATCCGGGCTGGGATGGAGCTCGGGCAGATCCCTTGCCTAGCATGAGAGGCAGCGGGTTCCACCTCCAGCACCAAAACAGGACCAGAACAAAAATCAGACAGGAAACAGCAGCTCACACACTAGGGCCAGGGGGCGTGGCACGTGTTCTAGGGACAGAGACAGGAAGATTAGGCTACATCTTTCCACCTTGCTTGGGGCAGCCACAGAAAGTGTAGTTGACAGGGTACGTGCATACTGCTGGCTTGGCTGCCGTTAGCCACGAGGTACACCCACCTACTCGGCCAACAGATGCTTACTCAGCATCTACTACACACCAGGTACTACACAGTGAGGGACGTAGCAACAAAACCTGCCCAGTTCCAAAGAGCGGGGAAGGACTCACTGAGGTGAGGTGGTTATTTGGAGGGGCCCCACATAGACACATCAGTGAACACAGGGCTCTAGGTCTCCACATCACACAGGGTGCAAACTTCAGGCTCATCACTATTGAGTTGTGACCACCCCTTTTCCCCCAGGGGTCTGTGACGTCAGCTGCCAGAACCGTGCTGGTTACTCCGCGCTCATGCTGGCCTCGCTCGCCTCTGTGGGGCAGGGGCCGGAGGACATGGCTGTGGTCAAGCGGCTCTTCACAATGGGCGACATCAATGCCAAGGCCAGCCAGGTGTGCACTCACCCCCACTTGGGCCCAGCTTGGGGGGAGGTTATTTCCGCCTGGGAGCCCACCTTAGCCTCCTCAGTCCCTCCTTCCATGGTCCCCAGACAGGACAGACGGCCCTCATGCTGGCCATCAGCCATGGCCGCCAGAACATGGTGGCAGCCCTGCTGGAGTGTGGGGCCGACGTGAATGTGCAAGATGCGGATGGGGCCACAGCGCTCATGTGCGCCAGCGAGTATGGGCGCCTGGACACTGTCCAGTTGTTGCTGAGCCAGCCAGGCTGCGACCCTGCCATCCTGGACAATGTGAGCTGGGGCCATGGGGCTGGTATAGAGGAGGTGCTCTGCTGTGTCTCAGAGCTGTGAGTCCCCCATGTTCTTCAGGAAGGCACCAGCGCCCTGGCCATTGCCCTGGAGGCAGAGCAGGACGAGGTGGCCGCTCTACTGCATGCCCACCTGAGCCCCGGCCAGCCTGGCTCCCAGGTGAGCACAGCACAGCCCTCCAAAGCCTTCCTATGAGCTACGAACCAGGATCAAGGATTACACCAACATGCCACAGGCCTTCCCGCTTGGGAGCCTGAGAGGTGGGATCCTGTCCATTCTCTGAAAATACACCTCCAGGTCAAGAGGCCCTGACCACGAAACAAACAAAAAGGATTTTGGCCACAGACTTTAGCAGCCTGTCCCCAACACGACTCATGTCGAAATGAAAACTACTTCTGACTTTAGGCAAGATTTGCCAGCAGCTGATGGGCAAAATCGAGACAGAGCCTTATTTGGAAAGTGCAAAAGTGGCCCCAGACATTTTAGATTAGCCAAGTGTGATGGTACACACCTACTATGGCAGGCTTTGGAAGGCTGAGGCAGAAAGACTGGGCAGGGCCACAAAAGACACGGTCTGAAACAGAAATGATCCCATACTCACGTGAGATGTACAAATGGTCAAGCGCCTCTTCCAAGTCACACAGGTGCAGAACCGTGGCAGCCGGTTCTCTGGGGGTGGTGCAGTGACCAAAATCCCCCAACCTCCAACACCTTTTCCTCCTCTCTAGGCCCAGTCACCCCCAGGCTCTCCTGTAGCCACACCGGATGAAGGACCATGCAGTGAGGGCCAAGAGGGTGCCCCGTCCCAGTGAGCTACCAAAAACACCTCAGAGAGATGCTTCTCTCCCGCCTCAGCCTCTGGATCACCCACCCAGCCCTTTCAACTTCCTCCCTAATAAAACACTGCTCCTACCCTCCCACTGTCCGGGGACAGCGTGCTTATGTACGGGGTGGGGATGGGGTGGGGGCAGACACACATGGATTCCCTTGCTGGGGAAAAATGGCCTTCAAGCTAGCCACAGTACAGAGGCTTGTGGCCAGCTGGGGACCGCACAAGGCCCACAAAAACTCTTAGAGAACGTTGAAAAACAGAACTTCACACGCAATACAAACGCTTTATTTCAAGAGTCGCAGTTCATCCCGTGGTTCAGGTGCTCGATGTCCAGGACCCTGTAAGCAGACGGACACGTGAGATCCAGACAGGGCGCCCCAGTATCCGGCAAATGCCTCTTCTCTCGCCGATCCTCTCACCGCCCCCCCCCCCGGCTTATCAGGTGGCGGAGACAGACCGCCATCCCCGCACTCACCAGCAGCTGAGCTCAGCGCAACCTCCGGGCTTCCCGCTCCGACTCCAACAGGGTGAGCACGTCGCCCTCGCGCACGGGCCCCTTCACGTTGCGGATGATGGAGCGGCTCGTGTCGTCCATGAACTCCACGCGCACCTACGGGCGGCAGGGGGTGCGGGGAGTCAGGGCGGGGCGCGGAGTGGGGACCACGTACGGGCTCGGGCCGGGCGGGAGTGAGCTCCGGAATGAAGGGCACGCCGGCGCTCAGCTCCCACGGGGATCAGCCGCGGCATCAGAGCCGCCTTCGCCCGGACGTACACCCCAGGAGGTCGTCGCGGCCCGCCACCAGCTCACCTGCGTGCACTGTCCCTGCGAGCCGGTCCTGCCCAGCACTTTGGTGACCTGGTAGAAAAACACTGGCGTCAGACGTGGCTCGCCCGGTTCGCCTACCCCCGCGCTCCTTCTGTGATGCCCAAATCCGGGCCGCAACTCACCCTAGCCAGCTTGATAGGCTGCACTCGACTCGTGTCCATGATGGCGACCTACAGCGACCGGGGCGGAGAGGAGTCACGTGGTTCGCGGGGGACTTTTATAGAGCGCGCTGCCACGCCCACTCCAGCTCTCGCGAGATCTCGTCTCGCGCTTCCCAGAAGGCTCCACGCTAGTGACGTCATCAGGCGTCCTTCAGCGCTGACTGAAGATGGCGTCCGCTACTCGCCTTATCCAGAAGCTACGGAACTGGGCTTCCGGGGTGCGCGGGGAGGACTGGGCCGCGCCGGGAGGGATGTGGGCGCTGTGCGCCCGGTATAGGCTCCTGCTACTCACCTCCGTTTCTCTCAGCTCACGGGTTTCCAGGATGCTCCAGTTCGTGATCCCATTAGCCAGGAACTCACTCGCCTATTCTTAGCTACTGGCATTCTCTAGTCCTGCGATCTCCCAAGCCCTCGACCTTAGTTAGCTTTGGGTCTCGCGGCCTAGCTTTCGTGTGTGCCCGCAGGTGCCATAGCCCCGTCCTGATGTTCGTCCCCTGCCTTCCCTTCGCCAGTCTCCTCACCTCCTCTTAGGGACGCCCCGCGGGCTGACCTCCCCTGTCCTCTTCCCACAGCATGACCTGCAGGCGAAGCTGCAGCTGCGGTACCAGGAGATCGCCAAGCGGTGAGCACTCCCCGCTCGCCGCCCAGCCTCCGATCTGGCCTTTCCCAGCCAAAAACAAAATCCTCATTTCTTCAGACCCCAGGATCCCAGAGCAGAGATCCTGTCCCCAGCCACCTGCCGGGCTGTGCGGGCAGAAATTTGCATTAACCTTGCTGGACCTTGGGGAGCTGGCTCCTCGCGGAACAGTCAGGCTGGGTGTGCATTGCGGATTGGATTCCCTCGTAGATGTGCAGTCCTCGGAGTGGACCAGCCAGCTAGTGTTTTACCTCCAAGCCACCGATGGAAAAATGAGGGAACCCGATAGGCCCCGTCATGTGCATAAAGTCACTTGGAAGCTAGAAAGTGACATCTGGGCGTTGAACCCCGCCGCACAATTGGGATTTATAAGCTCTGCCATAGTAAGAACAAGAGTAGTTCTTGTCCAAATTCCCTTCCTGGAGCTAACATGCTGCAGAAGTAAGCACAGCAAGTAACACTGCTCTGGAATGGACACAATGAATGAATGTGAGCTGGGAGGTGGTTACCTGGGGTCAGGTGTTTGGGGACGTGGCAGGGTTGAGGATATGGCGCCCTCTAGTGGCTCATTTGGGTCTTTGTAAGCAACTGGTTGCTTTTTACCTTCCCGCGCAAAGGTGCATGGAAGTCAGGGCAGGATACAGAGAGGATCGACCCTGCCTGCCTTAAGCTGATTCGAACTGCCACGTAATACATCGCTTGCCACATTAAAGTAGTTTTTAACTTTATATTGCATTCCTCATTTTGGAAATGCAGTGACAGCAGGGGGGTGTAGCGGTCCACACCCTTAATCTCAGCACTTGGGAGATTGAGTGGGGAGGATTGCTCTCAGCTTGAGGCCAGCTGGGCTACATAGTGAGCTGAGGGACAGCTAGAACTACATAGCAAGCCAAAACAACAAAGCAAAAACGGTGGCTAGCAGTTGATCTATGAAAAAGTTAAGCCATGGCAGAAGAGTTACCAGAAAAAAGCAGATCTTCATATGATTTTTTCCCCCAGCCTTGTCCGCTCCCTCCCTGGGAAGCTTCTCTTGTTTAGAGCTCAGCATTTCCTTTTAAGGGTTCGTCACCTTCAGATCTCCAGCCCAGGGGTCAGCCCAAGGCAGCGCTCAGTCGCCTCGGCCCCCACCTCTTGGCCTCAGACCATACAGCGGCAGGAAGCCTGGATGGGCTCCAAGGGCAAGGTGTTCTTTGGGCCACCAGTCTTGATCCCAGCAGGGTGCTTCAAAGAGTTTCAGAGATGACAGGAAACCCTGGTTTCCAGAGACTGGCCTTGGGAGAAAAAGCCACACAAAGCAGGCACAATCTTACACTGCTGCCCCATGTTTATGGACCATAATTGCCGGATAGGTTATAGTCATGGCCTTGGTCTTCAGTTCCTGCAAGTAGGGCTAAGCCAACTACCACACCCATGGTGGGAAACAGCTAAGCCGCGCCTTCCGGAGAGCCTCACAACGGGTCCTGTAGACCTCTTGTGTTGCGGCTGTGGGGTGACCTGGGCTGGGGTGACCTGGGCCTGGTCTCACACTGCCTTCACTGTGTGCCGGGGGGCGCCTCTGGCCTATAGCTCAGCCCTGTGTTTTTCAGACACATACAGTATTGATCAAAATACGTGGTTAGTGTTTGAATTTTATTTTATTTATTTTTGGTCCTGGGGATCAAACTCAGGACCTTGCACTTTGCAGTCAGGCTCTTAAGCCACTGAGTCATCTCCCTGGCTGTGTTTAACTTTTAAGAATTATTGTAAAAGAAACATTGTCCTGTCATCCCAGCATTCAGGAGGCTAAGGCAGGAGGATTGCCATGAGTTCTAGACCAGTCTGGGCTATATAGTGAGTTCAAGGCCAGCCTGAACTGCATAGTACAATCCTACAAACAAATAGAACATTTGTCATTAGTCTCCCTCCAAATATGCCCTCCTGGACTGAACATAATCATCTTGTGGCTTTAGTCATGGCTGGCCTTGAGCTCACTCTGTGGTGCAGGATGGCCTTGAACTCATGGCGATCCTCCTGCCTCAGCCTCCAAAGTGCTGGGATTGCAGGATCGTGCCACCGTGCAGGTCTCATGTCTTTACAGTGGTAAGAAATGGAGTGAATACTGCCACTGAATACCATCAGTGAAAGGGCTCGTGAAGCAGTGTGTCCTTATGCACCTTATTTAGTTTTTGGAGATGGCCTCTCTGTACTTCCGGCTGGCCTTGGACTCCGGGCGTAAGGCGTGGGACCCAGCGCCTGGCTTATCCACCTCTTCACCAGATCTGGCACCGCGTGGTTTCTTGCTCTTCCCCAAAGCCAAATGGCAGTGAGAGCCAGGCGTGGTGGCGCACGCCTGTCATCCGAGCACTCAGGAGGCCGAGGCAGGAGGATCACTGTGAGTTTGAGTCCAGCCTGGACTACATAGTGAGACCCTGTCTAAACATAAAAATAAAATAAAGCAAAAATGCAAGAGAAATGTTTTGAGTCAGGACATGAGGCAACTACAAGAGGACAACTGAAGGCACTCATGAAAGAGGCCTTCCAGGACTTTCAGAAAGGGGCAGGAGTGATGAGGGGATTTTTAAAGGGGATTAATGGTAATATGATTTGATAATTTTTAAAAACTTAAGGCATTTATATAGCTGTTTGGTTGAGACACAGTCCCGCTATGTAGCCCAGGCCGGCCTAGCATGCCCACCGATCTTCCTGCCTTGGCCTCCCAGGGCTGCGATTACAGGCATGTGCCACCACGCCCAGCTGAGCAGTCACCTTTGATCACGTCTCATCAGCCAAGCTGACCTCGAACTCGTGATCTCGCCTAGGTCTCCCCGCTGCTGGGACGACAGGCATGCACTGTCATGCCCAGCCTGCAGATAGGGTCTTGGGATAGTGGGCAGGCTCAGAGCAGGGCAGGGAGGGGGACGGGGCCCGTCCCCTGGCTTCAGGGCTGATGTGCTTTTTCCTCAGGACACAGCCCCCTCCCAAGCTGCCTGTGGGCCCCAGCCACAAGCTGTCCAACAATTACTACTGCACGCGCGATGGCCGCCGGGAAGCCGTGCCCGCCTCGGTCATTATGTCCTCACAGAAGGCGCTGGTGTCAGGCAAGAGAGCAGACAGGTGAGGACCTCCAGCAGTGTCCCCGGCCCTGCCCCCCTTGACTGGTGGAAGGTGCTGTATAGGACCCCACCGATAGGCCGGGGTCAGCTCGGTGCCGGGTGCTGGCCTAGCACCGGGCCCCAGGTTCCATCCGCAGCACCGCAAGAAACTTCCCATGGATGGAGCCCGTGGTGTTGGGTACCTTTCCTCCCGTAGCTCATTCATGGGATGGGAGTTAGAGGTCAGAGGTCGGGCCCCATCGGGAGCCTCGGGAGAGGCCTGTGTATTGCTGTCGTTCTCCTTTTCTGGTCCTGGTGGTGCTGGGAATGGAACCCAGTGCCTCCTGCGTGCTAGGCAAGTGCTCTGCCACTGAACTACACCCCAGCGCTGTGATCCTGTGATCTTTGAGAAAAAATGATGTAAACCTCAAAGCTGGGGCCACTCAAAACCCAGTTTGAAGCCGGCGTGGTAGTGCACACCTGTAATACCAGCATTCAGGAGGCTGAGGCAGGAGGATCTCTGCGTTTGAGGCCAGCCTGCAGTACATGATGAGACCCTGTCTCAAAAAAACACCACCAACAACCAAAAAAGCAGATTGATGCGCCTGCCTTAGTGATGCACGGCTGTCATCCCACCTACTTAGGAGGCTGAGGCAGGAGTGTTGCTTGAGTCTGTCTCAGAACAAAAACCAGCAAACAGTGACCCTGTTTGGTGCCTGGCCTCGGGTCTACTCTTAAGTAAAGGGGGCTACTAGTGGTGGGCTGTTGAGCTTAGGGCTAGGCCCTCGCCCCAGGACCAGCAGCCCCGGCCGGCGGTACTGTGCACAGGTCAGGCACCTCGGGGAGCTGAGCCGCCTGCCTGGCCTTCCCAGAACTCAGGAGAGAGGTCAGACCCGGATCCCCAGTGAGCCCGTTTTAGCGGCACAGGAAAGGAAGGCCCTTCGGGCGAACCTTTGGGAGGAAAAGCAACTTTGGATGCCGCATTTTTTTGGTCTCTGCTCTCTTCAGCCCTTTCCTGTGTATTAAACCTGCTTCCTGCTCTCAATTTATCAGAATACCCACTTAGCTGTACAGAGCAAGGTGCTATTCAGCGCTAGGGTCACAAACAAAAGCCGGGTAAGCCCTGTGAGGCAAGAGTGCTATAATCCGCCCTCGGACAATAGCGTGTTGGGGCGACTGATGCTCGGGATCTTTGTTTGTTTGCTTTTTGTCTTAGAGACAGGGTCTCGCTGTGTAGCTCAAGCTGGCCTCAGCCTTTGGCCGTCCTCCTACCTCAGCCTGCTGAGGCTTGGGATGACAGGCATGTGTCACCATGCCTGGCTCAGTTTCTTCATCTATAAATTGGGGACAGCAAGCTGGGTGTGGTGACACAGGAAGCTGAGGCAGGAACATCACTGGCAGGTTCCCACCCAGCCTGGGCTCCGGAGTGAGTTCAGTGGCACACCCTGTCACACACAGAGACAGTGACAAAACAAAGCCTCAGTAAATGGCTCAGCCTTGAATTTCTGAGTCCACAGTAGCTGGCGACACAGACCTCCATCACCATGCTGACTATAAAGGTTGTATTTTTTAGTCAGGGGATTTTGTTTTGTTTATTTGTTGGTTTAGTTGGGTGTTTTTTGAGACAGAGTCTTGCTGTGCAACACAGGCTGGCCATGCACTCTAGTGTGTAACCCAAGCTGGCCTCAGACAGCGATCCTCCTGCCTCGGCCTCCCAAGTGCTGGGATGACAAGCACGTGCCACCACGCCCCGCTGCTGGGGCACAGTCGTTCCCTAGGTGAGCGGGGCACCTCCTACCCTTCGGCACCACCCTCTGGAGACCTGGGCCTGACTGAAGTCTGTCTTCCTCTCGCAGTTCTGCCGTGGCAGCCACCGAGAAAAAGGCTGTGACCCCCGGTCCTCCCTTGAAGAAGTGGGAGCTGTCCCAGGACCAGCCGTACCTGTGATGGAGTGCTGGTCCCCTGGCCAGGCCCCCAGGGTTGCCTGCCTGCCTTCCTCCTTGGATCCCCTATGGGGAGAGCGCACCCTAATATGTGACAAATACACAGAACTCTACCACATGTTTTTACTTTCTTTCTTAAAATAAGAAGCCAGGTCTCACTGTTGTCCTGGCTGGCCAGGAACTCTGGGACCGAGCGTTCCTCCTGCCTCAGTCCTCCCAGGAGCTGAGAGAGCCGGCGCGTGCACTGTCATCCTCAGCCACTTGTGATTTTTAAGTGAACCCAGCTTCCCTGGGTTCTGGGTTAAAGCTGGTGCTGAGTCTCCTGACTCTGTCGGTACCCTGGTGGCAGGGTGACACCAACCCTGGGTGCAGAGTCTGATGACATGGATGTCATTGTCCCTCTCCCAAGGGCTTGGCTCTGCCCCTGAGGCACGGGGGACTCCCTCCTGGGAGCATCTGGGGGCCAGGAATTGCAAAGGCCCATAGGAGAGGGCTGTGCCGGGGGCGGGGTGGCACACTGCTCGCTAGAGATTGCTGTCTGCCTTCCTGGGTCCCCACTGTGGCTCAGCATGGAGGCCACTGTGCTGCCTCGGAGTGGGAGGCAAGGTTGCCTGGAGGATGATGGAAGGCACACGGCTCCTTGGAGGTACAGGGCTGGATCTGGCTGCAGGGCCACATGGTAATGTGGAGCCAGGGCGGTGGCCTGGCTGCCTGCCTGCCTGCCTGCCTGGGAGGGCCAGGACTACTGCCCCCAAGCAGAGCAAAGGGACAGGCATGGCCCAGGCAGCAGGCGTGCAAGCCCAGGGCAGCAGTGTCCTGGGTGCCCAGGGCCACGGGCTTCCTGGAGGGCAAGAGGTTGAGTCAGCTTAGCCGAGGAGGTGGGTGGAGGGGCTGGGCTGGGGGTGCATAGGCCAACAGGAGGGAGCCCCCAGGCAGAGGTGGATAAAGCGCCAGCATCTGACTTGCATGGCGTGGGAGGCTGGTGGGAAAGAGGCCTGAGCCCCCCGTCTTACTTTCCTCTTGTTGCTGAGACAACATAGCTGGCGACCAAAATCAAGGTTTTAGCTCACAGTCGGCCGAGGTTCCAGTCCGCAGTCAGCCTGCTCCAAGGCTGGGTGGCATAAGTGAGGAAGACAGCAGAAGCGCTGAGGGCGAAGCCGGGAGAGGCTCTCCTCAGACAGGCAGGGGTAGCACTCACCCCAGCCCTGCGCCGGGCTAGGAGCCAGTCACAAGCTAGGTTCAGCCACCTCTGCAAAGCCCGACCACCGGGACCTCTTGAGGCTTTGGGGGGACCCCCCAGACACAAACCATAACACCCCTGAGCTCCTGCGGGGCCAGGAGCTGCTCTGGGAAGTCACACCCCCATCTCATGTCCCCTTTGCCCCTTGGAGACCATGGAAAACACTCCTGAGGGAGCTGTCACCGGCATCGTTTTGATAGAGTGAAGCGTGCCATTAGCTGTGAAGGGAAACGAGAGAGCCCAGTGGGTTTCACTTGGCGGCCAGGGTACCCAACTCCTGCCTGGGGGACTTAGGAGGTGGGAGACCGTGGCTGTCTGGGGCCTGATGGGGGCAGTGGAATTCAACGGATCTCTTGAAGGTAGGACTGCAGATGACATTGGCAAGAAAGCAAGACTGGTAGAAAGACTTCCGGGCCTACTGTGCGCATGTGCGAAGAGACCCCGCGCCTTGCTTTCGGGTGTCTTCCTAGAGGAGGAGGAGGAGGCAGGCGTCCTCACGCCTCACTTCCCTGGGCTCTGCAGGGACTACCGGAGGTCGTGAGGGCCACATATGGGGAGGGACGGAGAACCTAGGATAGGTGGAGGTTCTTTGGTGGCTTACTTCTTTCCCTTGTACAGGGAAGTGAACCCAGAGCTTTTGCACCAAGCTACATCGCAGCCCTTTATTTAGTTTTGATTTTGAGACAAGGTCTTGCTAAATGGCCCAGGTTGGACTCGAATTTGGGACTTTCTTGCCTCAGACACTCAGAGCTCTGGGGTTACCCGTGTGTACCTCCTTGCCCAGCCTTTCAAAAAGGTTTTTTTAGTGCTGGGGAAGGAACCCAGGGCCTGCACTTACTGGTCAAGTGCTTTACACTGAGCTGCATGTTGAACAGGACGTTTTAGTATTCATTTATTTACCAGTACTTAAGAGCTTACTATGCTCCAGGCACTGAGGTAGTGGCCCGCAGCCTGTGCATCCGGGAGCTGGGACTCCCGCGTGGAATCAGTAGACCCTGATGAGTCAGTAAGATGACCCCAACAGTGGCTGCACTTAGGGCAGGGCTTTTGCGTTCGGTCCTGGAGAGGCCCCAGCAGGCTACAGACTGGCAGAAGCTGTGGAATCTCTCAGTGGTGTAGACTAGATTGGTCACAGATTGACCAAGTCAGGAATGCCACAGGTGGGCGTGATGGCACTTGGGACGCTGAGGCAGGAGGATCGCCTTGAGTTTGAGGTCAGCCTGGGTTGCATAGTGAGTTCAAGGCTAGCATGGACTGCCTAGCAAGACTTACTCAAAAAACAAACGGGGGGGGGGGGTGCCCCTTAGCTTAGCTCTTTAAGTGGCTGCTTCAACCAAGTAGTCCAGCTCAGGTTGCTGTGGTTTCATCCCCAGAACTCAAGCCAGCCAAACCTGCCCTGAAGGCATTCAGAGAAACAAACAAACAAACGAGGGGCTTGCGGATTAGCTCAGTTGTTTAAAGCGGATTAGCTCAATTGTTTAAAGCGCCTGCTTGGGCAAACTCAAGCGTGGGGACTGAGGTTCATCCCCAGCTCCACAAGCCACAACAGACTTGCCCTTAAGGCAGCCTGAACTAGCCACAGAAAACCTTCAAAAAACAAAAGCCAGATAAAATGCTTAAAATGTTTAAGCCTTTAAGCTGAAGATCATGAAAAGTATGGTGGTGACCCACAGTGCCCTCATAAACAGCTGCATTGTTAGAGTAAACAGTACAAAAAAAAAAAAAATCTGTGTTGGGAAAACCAATCCAATAGATGCTTGGGTTAGAAAAAGCACTCGTGGGGCTAAGGATGTAGCTTAGCGGCGCGAACACCTGCCGTGGCAAGCACGAGGTCCTGAGTTCGAGTCCTGATACCAATAAATAAATAAATGAAGAAAAAAAGCACTCATACCTCCCGTCCACAAGAATATCCGTGCAGTGAATGCAAAACTGGAAAGTGGTTAAACCGTTGATAAGAATCAAACTCCTGATGCTGCCACCAGGGCTTCCTACAAGAGTGAACACGTCTAGCGCGTGTCTCAAGAGTCCTGGGGAGTTAGAGCGTGTTGGCATCTAACAGGTACCTGCAGGCCTGTCATCCAGGCTCCTGGAGGCTGAGGCAAGAGGGTCACAGGGAGTTCAAGGCCACCTCGTTTTGTTATTTTTATTTTTTGCGGGACTGGAGATTGAACTCAGGACCCTGAGCTTGCCAGGCAAGCACTTATTCTACTGAGCTATCTCCCCAGCCCAAGCCCCTGTTTTTTAAAACAGAAAGAAAGGAACCCACACCCAAAACAAACTAAACCTATGGAGGAAACAATAGAATCCTGATGTCATAGAGCTGGTGAGAAAATGTTTTAATTCATTTATTTTTGAGACAAAATCCTGCTATACTGTAGCCAGGGCAGGCCTTGAGCTCTCGATCCTTGTGCCTCAGCCTCCCAAATGCTGGGATTACAGGGGTGCGTCACCACACCGAGTATTACAATATATTTTAACCCCCACCCCACCCCACCCCAACAATATAAATTTTGTCTTTGACACCAAAGCAGCAGGAGTAAGGGGCGGAGGGGAACACTCGCGGGGAGCAGCTGCCGTATTAAATAGAATAATTGAGCAGTAGTTTACGGCCATAAGCATTTGGAGGGGAAGTAACGTAAGCAGACAGGCCCTTGACATTTCCAGAAATACCCAGTGACAGGTAGGGCGCTTTTCAATCTCTGGGAAAAGCGGGCTGAGCCTGCTGCCATGTGCGCCCCTACTCTGGCACTTACGGTAAGCGGCGCCGCGGGTGCCCGCCACGCCCTGACCTGCGCGTGCGCGTGCGCAAGAATAAGAGCAAGCCGGGAGCGGTGTGCGGCCCGCGCCGCGGCTTGAGAGGCACGAGTAGCGGCTTGATGGCGTGCAGTGGGGCACTGCGAACCACTGTCCTGGGCCTGGCGCTGCGGCTGCTGCTCGGACTCAGACTAGGATTGGAGGCCGCTCCAACGTCAGCCCCGACCGGAGCTTTAGCCCAGGCCCCAGGTGAGCTAACCCTCTCGACCTGCGCGCCCACCCCGCCTGCCACTGCGCTGCGCCCCGCCCCCACGCGCCTGTATCATCTCGCTATTGGCCACGCTGCCCGTCCGTCGAGGGCACGCCCCCAGCACGTGGCTGTAACCTTGGTAGCGCGGGGGGTGGGCGCTGGAGCTAGGGGCTGAATGGGGCTCTTGCACGTGGGCACAGCCACCTGTCTTGTGCTGTCCGGGGGACTTCCCTGCGCTGCACAGCACCCGCTCTGCTTTGTCCTGCGCTCGTTGTCGCCTCTACGCCACCCTGCAGTCCAGCGTGGTCGGGAAGGCGTGTTGCAGGCACAGATTGTACGACCTCTAACCACACAGCGTCACCTGGCGCCTCTCCAAGGCACCGAGTGTCCCAGGCCCTTATCCCCGAGCGAGCGTCAGGCCTGGTAGCTGCGTCCTGGGCACACAGTCCGGTCTCCCAGTGTCTCCGTACTTTCCCGCCTTAGCGCTGCGGGTGTATTTCACTGGTGATCCCAGCTTCACAAGTCAGACCAACCTTCCTGGGTTTGTGTGCGTGTTCCAAGTGACCCTGAAGCCCTTGAGACTGGGGAGCCCTCGTTGAGGGCGCCAGAGCAGCAGGAAGCACGGGTTTCACGCTCCCTATTCACCCATGTGCTTCCCTCCTACCGAAGACTCACCCCCAGAGCCCCTGGCTTTTCAAGCAGAATGTTCAGGGGCCCTCCTTAACCAAGTGAATTGTTTACACACAAGGGGCGCCTTTTCTCAGGATGCTAAGTGGGAACTCCTGGCTTAAGGCAGGAACCGCAGTGTGTGCCCTGTGACCTGTGTATTAGGATATCGGGTGCTTCCCTGGGCAGGGTCACAGGGTCACTGGCCTTCCAGTCACCCAGTGTCCATCCAGTACAGGGAAGGACTGATGTTACCTGTTTTAGAGCCATTGTTCTACAAGGTTCCCAGCCAGATTCCACTCACACAGGAGGAAGCGGGCTAGGATGGGAAGTCAGGCCACTCCAACCTGTCCCAGGGGAGAGGATCTGCCCTGCTCTGCTGCTCATGTCGCAGAGGGACATACCCCATGGGCCAGGCTAGGGAGCAGTGGGGCTTCAGGGCCACGAGTGGCAGGCCTAGGGAGGAAGCAGTGCTTGGAGATCTCCAGACCCAGAACAGGGAAGGAGGCTGGCTTCGGAGCATCTCCAACTCTTCCTGGCTCTGCTCAGCTCAGGGACTGTGTGACCGGCAGCTTGCCCCTTGCAAGTGACATCAGATAAGACAGTGGAACCGGTCAGAGGGAACAGAGACAGCGAGACCCAGCCAATATGGGGTGCATGCTGCCTGCTCCCCTTGCTGCAGCAGTAGGAAGAGCCTCGTTCCTCACGCCCCTCCTGCTGGCCCAGGTTCCAGGTCCCTCTGTGCCCCCTCAGATCTGCCACCAGCCCTGTCCAGAGTCCAGGAAGGCTTGCAGCTCATCCGGATCCAGCTTGGTCCCCGTGTGACTTGTGGTCCATGTATTGTCAGCTGCTGCCCTGGCCTGGCTCGGGAGGTCACAGCCCTGGCCGTCACCGAGTGTCCAGCCTGAGGAAGGATGGGCACTACCGGTTTAAGGATCACTGAGATGCATGGGTCTCTGTAAAGGGCACAAGACCTCCTCCCAGAAAGGAAGCTGTGCTGTGGAGGCTGCAGAAGGAAATGCAGGTGCAGACGGGGAGGAAGTAAGGCTTGGCGGAGTCGGGCAGGTGGCTGCCAGAACAGTAGCACGCTGCGACTCCGCAGGTCCCTGGTGCTCTCTTTGGCTTTCACTCGAGAATGGGGTCTGGGGTGGAAGTGACACACTCAGGTCAGAGAATGTGGCCAAATGTGGGTAGATTTAGGAGCAGCATTGCTTGATGGCTGCAGGTTTCTATCCAGAGCCTCAGTTTCCCCTTTGCCAAGCAGATGGCATAGAACAGGCCTGCTGACCTTGGCCATAAGCCTGGCCAGGGGTGTGTTGGGGGCCAGTGCCTGCCCCAGGCTGTTTCGTTACAAAGCCTGGAGGTCTCGGATGGACATTGGCCATTTGGAGGCTGGTCTCTGGGATCAGTGAGACCTGGGTTCAAACCCTGACTGCCAGTAGTTCCCTCCTCTTAGGGCCTTCTGTAGCTGGGGGTGGAGGCAGCACCCACCCATCGCGAGCACTCAGCATATGGTTCCTGCACCCTGGGACCTGGTTTGTCCCCAGGTAGTTGCAGCCTGTGACTGCGGTGCTCTTGGAGGAGGCCCCAGACTTGGCTTTCCCTGTTTCACTCGTGGGCATCTCGTAGGCCCCAGCGCAGACTCCTGCTCACCCTCCGACTTCCGGTGCCGTACCAATGGCTTCTGCGTTCCCCTCACCTGGCGGTGTGACGGTGACCCAGACTGTGAGGATGGCAGTGACGAGGAGGAGTGCAGTGAGTGGCCAGCCCAGAGAGGACTCCTGGGGGCGGGGCTGAGGAGGGGAGGTGGGACCCCAGGGACCAGAGGGGCCAGAGGGGAGGGTACACGGAGTGGACTGGACGGGGCTTGCAAAAGGGGTGGTGGGGTGGGGGATGGAGGTGTGTGAGATGGGGGCGGGTTCATAGGGCGGCTTGTGAGGAGGTGGAGCCAGTGGATGCTGGGGGCGGAGCTCTGGAAGTCTAGGGCTTCGGAGGTGGGGCTAATAAGAGCAGGGGGCGGGACTCATAGGTCAGCAGTTAGAAGGCGGAACTTAGGGGAACTGGGTACCCTGAGCCCTGGGTTTTCATGGAAGAACATTTGTGACCTCCCTTCCCTGCACCGCAGGGATCCAGCCCTGTGCCCAGAATGGGCAGTGCCCACCACCTCCGGAACCCCCTTGCTTCTGCGACAGCATCAGCGATTGCCCTGGTGGCATTCATAGGAACCTGCACAACTGCAGCCACCACCAGCCCTGCCCCAAGGGCCAGCTGCCCTGCAAGATGGGGGACATCTGTTTCCTCCCCGCATGGCAGTGCGACAGCCACCCGGACTGCCCAGACGGCAGTGACGAGCTTGGCTGCAGTGCGTATCCTGGGGACGTGGTGGAACTTAGTAGATGGGGAGGGCTGGTGGCTTGGTAGGAACACCAGTGATTCTTGGGCCACAGATGTTCCCACCACCTCCAGCCAGCCTGGGGTCAGTATGAGCCCCCTGGGGTCCCCTAGTGTACTCCATGTTCTCCAAATGCCATCCACAACCACTACTCTTCGCAGAAATCAGGGAGATAGTCCAGGGAGGGCAAGCCTCAACAGTGAGGAGCCCTGGCACCATGGAGGGCGTCACCTCTGCTGGGGACCAGCCTGAAAACCTGAGTGGCTACGGGATCACTATAGCTGCTGGTAAGCTGGACAGGCCCTTCCATGTCAGTGGCTTGGAACAGCTGCCCTGCGAACAAGCAGGGGACAGGCTGTGGTTGTCCTGTTCTTAAACATTGGGGGCAGGGTGGGTGTGCAGTCTCCTGTGTCATCTTACCTCCACTGTCTCTCTGTCCCCCACAGGGTTACTCGGTGTCAGCCTGGCCGCTGTCATCCTCCTGGTCTTGTTCCAACTCTGCGCCCGAGGGTCCCTGCGCCCGCTGGGACTGCTGGTGGCCGTGAAGGACTCCCTGGTGCTATCAGAAAGGAAGAACTTGGTGCTCTGAGGCTCACCATCACTGCTGCCCATTGTCACAGGGCCCTGACTGCCAGCCCAGGAAGACAGCAGCGGACATGCACAGGCAGCTGTGGGCGTCCTGGCCTCTGGAACTCCGCTGCCCTGGCCACCCAGAGCCTCGGACCCCAGCGCCTGCAGATGTGGCCCCCGAGGCGGTGTCCCCAGCCGTCCCCTCGGACTCAGAGCGAGGGTGGAGGAGGGAAGGGTGTTCCAGGTGGGATGCAGGGCTGGCCCAGGCTCGGAGGTCGTCATCGTGCGCTCAGACACTCCTGTTACCCTGGTCAGTGGGGATTAAAGTCCTGCACATCCTGTCTGCCTCTGGCCTCTGTCTCCTTGTGCTGGGCAGCCTGGGGACTCTGCTGTAGCCTGTCCTCTAGGGTGGAGCACTCAGTGCCGAGAAGGTGGGCTGCAGGTTTGTCCCAGGCACTCCTTAGCCTCTGCGCCTGTCGCTTCCTAGGGCGGAGGAAATGGCAGGGTGGAGAGGCGCTCTGCCCCCGAGATGGGCCTGGGGGTGAAGAGCAGAACCGGGACCCTGCCTGCTCCTTCCTGGAAACGCTTCCCCCAGTTACGGCTTCTGCCGGAAGTGGAGCCCCTCAGCTTCCGCTTGTCTCAGCTCCGCCGTGTTTTGTTTTGTTTTCCGTCTTTTTGAGATAGGGTCTTGCTGTGCAATTCAGGCTGGCCTTGAGCTCACTTTGTAGCCCAGGCTGATCTCGAGCTTGCACCAGTCCTCCTGCCTCAGCCTCCTGAGTGCTAGGATTACAGGCACGTGCCCCCACACCCAGCCCCGATTTCATCTCTTTCCCTCCTCATGGTACTGAGGGTTGAGTCCGTGGACACTTTACAGCTGAACTACTTTTTAGTGTTTATTTTTTTATTTTTTGTATTTTTAGAGAAGGATCTACAGAGTGTTCAGGGTCTCATTATTAGATCAGACTCCTGATTCTCCTGCTTACAACCTCCCAAGTGCTGGGATTACAGGCCTGCGCCACTACGCCCAGTCTCAATCACTTGCTTGGTGTGCCCCGGGGGCGGGCCGGCACAGCAGGCCAGGGGATTGAGCCCCAGTCCCTGCTTGAATTTTTATTTTGAGACAAGCTCTGGCTAAGTTGCCCAAACTGAGTTCCAACTTGTCCTCTTGCCTCAGCCTCCGGAGTGCTGGGTTTATGGGCATGGCCACCCCTTCCTGCTCTATCCTGTTTTAAACTGTAGGTTTTATTTACTTTATTTACTCCCTGTGGTGAGATCAAGTGATAAAAGACCTAAGCAGCATCAGGGCATGGGGGCACACACCTGCAGTCCCAGTGCTCGAGAGGCTGAGGCAGGAGGAGCACCCTGAGCCCAAGGTCAGCCTGGGTTCTTCAGCAAGGGCCTGCCTAAAAATACAAGTCAAACCAAGACAAAATACTCGCTGGGAAGCCGAAGCTGGGCATAGTGGTGCACGCCTGAATCCTAGCACTATGGGAGGCCGAGGCAGGAGGATTGAAAGTTCAGGCCCAGTGCGTGCAATTTACAAACTGAGCAAGACCCTGTCTCAGAATAAAAGGGTTGCTGCGTGAAAGTTCGGGGTCGAATCCCCAGTACCACAATGCACAGATAAACCCTCCCGGACCCCTGGGTGTGAGACCCAGCAGCCGGGCCCCTCAGGGAGGTAAGGAAAGGCTGGCAAGCCTCGCTAGGGTCTCTGTAGCAGGGCCTGGGTGTGGCGTGGTGAGCAGCGCTCCTCCTGGCTTGGTGCTGGGCTGGGGCGGGCGGCACGTGCTCCACAGGGGGAGGGCCCAATTAAAGGTGGCTGCTTTGCAGGGAAAAGGTCGGTTCCCAGCTCCTGGCCTGTGAGGGTTGCCAAGGCCCGGATGTGCGCTGGGGGAGGGGGTCCCTCGCCTCGAGAAGGCTGAGATGCTGAGCGGGAACCTTGGGGCTTGCAAGATGGAGCCCAGCTCCGGACTGCTGACCTCGGTTGTTTTTGGAGGCAGGGTTTCTAGCTCGGGGTGACCTCTCCCCTCTAAGGAACCCTTTATTTTCATTTATTTGTTTATTTATTTTGTGGCCAGCTCAGCCCACCCTGGCTGCCGTGGCCTGTGGTGGCATGTGGTGGTGGGCACGCGTGTGGGCGTGGCAGGCGCAAACACCCTAGCTTCACGCTGTGGCTGGCCTGGGGGAGCGAGGGACAGGAGTGGGGGACAGGCGCGGCCGGAGGGGAGGGTCCTTCCCTGTGTCCTATCGCTTCACCGGGTCCCCCTGCTCCCCACCCCCACCCCCCGGTAGTCTCGCGTTGAGGCACAGTGGTCGCGTGGCAGGCAGAGAGCTGACGGCGGCCGGCAGATCACATCTATCTTTGGGCCTCTGCGACCAACCCTGGGGACAAGTGCCCTGGCTCTGTGGTCATCCGCGCCCCCAGGGGATGCGCGTCCATTTGTCGGCCTACGTAGGCATCCCGGGATGGCAGGGCTCTCTGTTCCCACTGGCCTGTCTGCCAGCAAGCACGTCCTGTCCCTAAGAACCGGCTTGGTGAGTCATGTTCAGGAAACTATGATTTTTAGAGTAGGGCACTGCTGTGTAGCCCAGGCTGGCCCAGAACTCACTGCATAGCCCCGGCCTTGGACGTGCGATCCTCCTGCCTCAGCCTGCCAGGTGCTGGGATCACAGGTGTGCCACGGATGGATTACTGCGCGGGTGCGACCCTGGGCACCTGCGGCTCCATCGTCAAGTCAGGCTGCGCCCTTCCCCTTGGGAGGCGAGTGGGAGCCCCGGAGGAGCGGACAGGCAGATCCCAGTTCCCTGCGAGTTTGTGCTCAGTAGGTTCTCAGTGGCCTGGAAGGGATGGGAAGGGGTGGGGAGAGGGAGGGCAAGGTGGGCACCCACAACCCTCCCTGCTCCTGCTGCCCTCTTTTATTATTGAGGAAAATTCACATAACCCAAAATTAACCATTAACCACATTCATGTCAGGACCCAGGCGGTGCCGTTTACTATCTTCAGTGTTAGGCAACCCCCCCCCCCCCAACCTGGTTGCAGGAGAGTTTCTATTTTTCTATTTTTGGGATAGGTTCTCACTGGGAAGCCCAGGGTGGCCTAGAACTCACAGAGATCCTCCTGCCTCAGCCTTCTGGGTCCTCAGATTACTGGTGTGCACCACACGCCTGGCTTTTTTCACTGAGTGTGTTGCACCCAATGTGGCTAATTCCCCCCCCACACACACTTTGTCATGATTTCCCTTTGTGCTGGACTGGGGTGGGCACACGGGAGGGTGTACAAGGACATGTGAAGAACACACACACACAAACAGGAGGGCTTTCATGCCAATTTTACTTTTCTTGAGGCAGGGTTTTGTTAAGTTCCCCAGGTTGGGCTGAAATTTATAGTCCTCCTGCCTCAGCCTCCTGAGTACTGGAATTGCAGGTGTGCACCGCCAGGCCCAGCTTAAGGTGCTTTTACTGTAACAGATCACTAGGCCAGGGTGGTGTGTGTGGGGGGTGCATGTAGGGTGCCTTTAACTCTTTCATACATTGCTTACCATGACCAAAGTTGTCCGGGCTCTGCTGGAACTTGCAACCCCCCTGCCTTAGCCTCTGGAGGAGCTGGGATTACAGGTGTACGCGGTGCTCTGAATTCTTTGTTTACTTTATTGCATTTTTAAAATCCTTTTTAAAAGATAAGCTCTTGCTGTGTAGCTCAGGGTGGCCTTGAGCTCACTTTGTAGGCCGGTCTGTAACTCTAAAGACCCTCCTGCCTCAGCCTCCCAAGTACGCCTGGCCTGTTTGCTCTTTTTAATTTTTAATTTTTTTTTTATTTGTGTGTGTGTGTGTGCGTGGCCAGCTCAGCCCACTGGGGGGCGGGGCTGGCTGGCATGTGGTGCTGGGGGATTGAACCGCGGTCTCTGTGTTTTGCTAAGCTTGTTCTAAGTAGGTGCTTTAGACCACTGAGCCATCTCACCAGCCCCCTGTTTGCTCTTAAAAGTGCTTAATTTAATGCTGCGTGAATTTCACCCCCACAACAAAGCCAGAGAAGGAGGGAGGCCAGTTGTTGGGGGTAGTTTCCCGCAAGCGGGGGAGGGAGGTGGGGGGTGGGGGTTGGGAACTGGGAACTGGGGAAGAGGGGCGTGCCAGTGCTGCACAATGCAGGAAGCGGCCTCTAGGTGGCGCCATCTGCCACACCTGGTGTCCTTTGGCTTCACTTGGCCACAAGCCCATTTGGCAACTCGGCAGTCTTTTTAGTACTGGGCCTTGGCAGGCTAGTCAAGTGTGCCACCACTGAGTCATACCTGCCCTTAAATTTCGAGACAGGGTCTCACTAAGGTCCTACGGCTAGGCTCAGACTTTGCGATCCTCCTGCCTCAGCCTCCAGAGCGGCTGGGATTATGGGGATGCGGCAGCATGCCAGCCTAAAAAACTGCACTCCTGCGCCTTGCCAGTTCCTACGCTGGCCCCACCGGCCTCGGAGCTCTGTGTCAGTGTGGCCTGTGGTCTTCCGCCGCCTCTTAAGGGGCAGCTTGGCCAGCTCTCTTCTGTCTTGCAATTGGATGATGCTAGCCCCACCCCCCAAATCAGAAATGGACTCTCATTAGTCCGAAGCGGCTCGCCTGGCTGCCTGATTGGTCCACAGACAGATTCGGACTCCGGCACGTTCTTCTAGCTTTGGGCCGATTTTCCAGCTTCCGGAAGACAGCTGCCGGCTGGGCCTTCTGTGACCCCCATCACCCGAGGCCGCAGCCCTCAGCCACAAAAATCAAAGCCGCGAACACCAAGCCATGGCAGCCAGAGCCTGGGGAATGGCACTAGTTCTTGGAGCGGACCCTATTCTCTGACGTTCACAGCTACAGGAACCGAGAAATCCTTTTAAAACTCAGGGGCACCACTGTAGTCCCAGCAGCTCGGGAGGCTGAAGCAGGAGGGTTGCAAATTTGAGGACAGCTTGGGCCATTTGGGAAAACCCTGAGTCCAAAACACAGAACAGCCAGAACAAAGGTAGGGACTATGCTCAGTAATGACACCCCTGGGATCAGTCCCCAGCACCCTGACCCCCCCCCCCTGCTAAATTTGACTGGGGGTAGGATTTTTGTCATTTGTAACGAACAATTCCTAACAGGCACAGGAATCTTTGGTCTTAGCGAGATTTTTCAGTTTTTGTCAAATAAACCTCCTCTATCCTTTCAGCTTCAGGGTCTCGCTTTTTAAAAAAGAAATTGTTTGTTTATTACAGGCCAATAGGCAACTGCATGACATGCAGTACCAGAGATCGAACCGGGGTCCTTAGCGCTTTCCAGGCAGGCGCTTAGACCACTGAGCTATCTCCCCAGCCCCGAGGGTCTTGCTTCTTGA